GGTTAACTAACTATGATGGCGGGAAAATTTAGTGATGGCTCAGCTATGAAAGTGGGATCTTCTCCTAAGATTGCATCAGTGATTCCTTCTGCTCGTACCATTATTCCCCTAGGTAGGTCCTCTTCTAATTCATCTGATTTCAAATCCTCTGATACTCAAGAGATGTACCTATTGTAATGGTACTAAACATGTTCAAGAAACAAGCTTTAAGCTACATGGCTATCCAGATTGGTATGTTCAGAAAAAACATGTCCAGAAAAAGGGTGGGAACTCTGGGTCTAAGGCTCATCATACTTCTGGTGACACTGACACTCAAATTGCACCACAACTTTCTTTGCCTTCTTCGGTAACCCAACCTTCTCAGCAAGTTTCTCAGGTTGATGCTTCTACCTCTTTGGTCAATACAGGTAATTTGGGATATGCCTTAAGTATTTCTTCTGTTCCTTGTGGTCAATCTTGGATCATTGATTCAGGGGCTTCCGATTATATGACTAATAACCCAACTCGGTTTGTTTCAAAATTTAATCCTTCTAGGAGTAATGTTAAAGTTGCTAATGGTTTGTCCACACCAGTTTTAGGAGCTGGTTCTGTTCCTTTGTCTCCTTCTATATCTCTTTCTTCTGTTTTACATGATCCTTCCCTTTCTAATAATTTACTCTCCATAAGTCAAATTACTAAGAATCTAAATTGTTGTGTAACATTTTTTCCTACCCATTGTGTTTTTTAAAATATTCTTATGAAGGAAACAATTGGTCTTTGTGGAGAGAGAGGGGCCTATACGACTTGGATTTGAGTGCTTCACCTGCTTTCAAGGTTGCCAAAGTGTACCAAGTTGGAGTAGAGGAATCCAACGCTAGAGAAGAGATTTGGATATAGCATCGAAGACTAGGATATCCATCTTTTCCTTATTTGCAACGTTTATTTCCTTCGTTATTCTCTAAAGTTTCTCTTTTAGATTTTCAATGTGAACATTGCATTTTAGCAAAACACCATTGTGCTTCATTTCCTTTAAATTTTGATAAAAGTGATGCCTTTTGCACTTATTTATTCTGATGTTTAGGGTCCTTTTTCGGCTCCTTCTCACACTGGTGCACAATGGTTTGTTTCTTTTATTGATGATTGCACACGAGTGTCTTGGGTTTATTTGATGAAGAATAAAAGTGAGGCGGCTTCTATTTTTCCAATTTTCCACCAAATGCTTCATGCACAATTTGAGAGTATCTCAAACATACTCTTGGTGCCTAATTCCAGCAACATGGCCTTGTTCACCAGACTTCACGTGTCTCTACACCTCAACAGAATGGTATAGCTGAGTGTAAAAATCACCATCTCCTAGAGGTGGCTCGATCTTTATGCTTTGCTATGCGTGTTCCCAAATTTTTTAGGGTGATGCAGTACTCACGACTGTATTTCTTATAAATTGCATGCCATCCAGAGTTCTCCAGTTTCAAACACCTTTCCAAGCCTTGTCTCGATATCAGTCTCTTCCTTCCCGTCTTAACAATCCTCCTAAGGTCTTTGGATGTGTTAGTTTTATCCATGTTCATCCGCATCAACGAAGTAAAATGGATCCCCGTGCCTTGAAGTGTATCTTTGCGGGTTATTTTGCCACCCAAAAAGGATATCGTTGTTTTCATCTTCCTATCTGTAAACTCTTTGTTTCTATGGATGTTACCTTCTGTGAGAAAGAAGCCTATTTTTCAAGGGGAGTTACTGATACTTCTCTTTAGGGGGAGATTGGGAGTTAGTTGGAAGAGAAGTCTTTTTTGGATGAAATACTAACTGTGCAAGGGACAAAGATAGTACCTGAAAAAAGGAGAAAGAGTTAAGGGTGTATGTGAAAAGAAAAAAGGTACATATGGATAATCAAAGAAATAATGAGGAAGGCACTGAGATAGGTTCGGCAGAGTCCCCTCTTGAACCATCGGACCAAATGGCTCCTTCTGAGGATATTCTTGTAGATCATCTAGAGGTAATTCGTACTATTCCTTCTTCTCTTGAGCCTAACCTTTCCTTTGAGTCTAACCTTGATATCCCAGCACGTCATTCTGAGATACAAAATGAATCTCAAGGTCCTTGTTATCCTGTTCGTCCTAATCAGGGTAAACCTCCTAAATTGTTTACTTTTTTATCTGGTAATGTTATCCAATACCCTATATCCAATTATGTATCATCTCACCGGTTGTCTAATTCATATAAGACTTCTACAAATCAATTATCCTCTGTGTCCATTCCTAATAGTGTACAGGAAGCTCTTGGCAATCCTAAATGGAGAAGTGCTACAACCAAGGAGATGAAAGCTCTTCAGAAAAACTCTACCTAGGATATGGTTGAACTACCGAGGGTAAGAAAATTGTAGGTTGTAAATGGGTGTTCACCGTGAAACATAAAGCAGATGGCTCCATTGACAGATATAAGGCTCGACTAGTGGCTAACGGTTATACACAAACCTATGGGATTGATTACCAAGAAACTTTTGCACCAGTGGCCAAAATAAACACCATCCGGGTCCTCTTGTCCTTGGCTACAAATCTAGATTGGCCTCTACGTCAGTTTGATGTGAAAAATGCTTTCCTACATGGAGAGTTGGATGAGGAAGTCTACATGGACCCTTCTCTAGGGTTTACTACTTCTTGTGATGTGGATAAGGTTTGCAAGTTGCGAAAGTCCCTGTATGGACTTAAACAATCTCCAAAGGCATGGTTTGATAGGTTCACACAATCAATGAAAAACTATGGATTCAAACAGACTCAAGCTGATCATACTCTATTCTTCAAGAGAAATAAGGACAAGATTACTGCATTAATAGTTTATGTGGATGATATGGTGGTTACTGATAACGATGACAAAGAGGTTAGAAAACTCCAGAATTATTTAGCCAAGGAATTTGAGATGAAGGATATGGGTACTTTGAAATATTTTTTTGGGTATTGAGGTGGCCAGATCAAAGCATGGTATTTTCCTGTCCCAAAGGAAGTATGTCTTGGATTTGTTGACTGAAAGTGGGATGCTAGCTTGCAAATCAGCAAATACTCCAATTGAGCAAGACCACAAGTTGGGGGAATTTCCAGATCAAGTTCTCACAAATACGGAACGCTACTAGAGGTTAGTTGGGGAACTAATCTACTTATCTCATACAAGCCCGGACATCGCCTACGCGGTTAGTGTGGTGAGTCAGTTTATGCATGGACCTAGTGAAGCTCACATGGATGTTGTATATCGGATTCTCAGATATCTAAAATCTCTCCTGGTAAAGGCCTAATGTTTTCTAAACATGGACATCTAGAGTTTGAGGGTTACACATATACTGATTGAACTGGATCAATAACTCATAGAAGATGAACTTCTGGATACATTACTTTCGTAGGTGGAAACTTAGTAATTTGGCGGAGTAAGAAGCAACATGTGGTAGCTAGATTAAGTGCAGAAGCATAATTCAGAGCTATTGCCCATGGGGTTCAAAAACTGTTATGGATAAAGATCTTGATGGGTGAATTGGGTTTCTGTCCCTTGAAACCTATGAGTCTTTATTATGATAACAAGGCTGCCATTAGCATTGCACATTACCCAATTCAACATGATCGTACCAAGCATGTTGAGGTAGATAGACACTATATCAAAGAGAAACTAACAGGTGGAATAATTAGCTTGCCTTCTGTAAAGACCGAGGACCAGCTAGCAGATATTTTGACAAAGGCAGTATCAAGTAGAAGTTGCAATACTTCAATCGACAAGTTAGGCATGCGAGACATCTATGCACCAACTTGAGGGGGAGTGTTAACGTGATTGATTAGGGTTTACCTTTCATCTATAAACATAATTAGCGTAGTTGATCTATTAGCATAATTAACGTGGTTGATTAGAGCCGACTTTGTAAACTTAATACTTACCTTATATGTATAATATGTGTATAGTATATATACCTCCTTGTGAGAAGAATAAAAGTATCGTAAGATTTTTCTCCCTATTTTTCTCAAGTTTTGACAAAACTATTAGAAATTGAAGGGGGCAAAAGAGACATTTAACATGACATCCTATCGGCGTTCTAACAGTAACGCTGATAGGGATTGTTTGTGTAGGTTTTAGCAAAATTTCAATCTACCTGTAACTAGGATAAACCTAATGAGGAATCGGTGTAACTTCTCCTTCTTCTATTTGTTTAGTACTCCGTATTAGTATTATTGTTTCGGCATTTTTTATCCAAATATTTCCATGTTTCGTATGGATACACTCAATGAAGTCTGTTCTAATTATTTGGGATCAGCTATTTTTCGTATGGATAATTTCCTATTTTTATTTCTTGAAGCTTCTTTGGGAATGCCTGGGATTTATTTTTTATTTTTTATTTTTGGGCAAAGTTGACTAATTTTACCACTCTAAATTCTAGTTTAAATTGATTTCACAAAGTTTAAGGGAAAAAAATGAAGAAATAAATTGAACTATTGTGCCCATCATAGGAATGGGATATTTTGTAATGACTTAAATGATTTTCTCCAACAAATAAACAGGTTATAAAAAGTTTGTTATTGTACTGATTCACATTGTAGTCTGTAGAGGCTATTCATGAGTAAAGGGGAGAAAATGGACTCCCTTTATACTGAAGGATTTTTAATCGTAGGTTGAATTCCTGAAATTTAATGAACTAAGAGAAGGACACAATAACTTCTCTAATTTGGCTTATGGGATGTAGCGATGAAAGTTATTCACGTTTCCCTTTTTAAATGTATAATATTCCTGTTCTTGGTCCTCTTTCATTTTCGTTCACGTTCTGTTTGCTCCATCAAAGTTTCTCCTGTTCCCTCTTTCTGTCAATTGCTTTTTAAGGTAATTAAGCATCCTTGAAAATGTAAATAAAAAACTTTTCTTTCCTTTTTCTTTCTTTATCATTTTCCTCACATTTCTCTTCCTTATCCCATTAAAGTACTGATGAACCATCTCGTCCTTCAGAATGCCACATTCTTGTTCGTAGTCTTTGCATTAAGTTTATAACTGTTGAGCAGGTTGCCGTGTTGGCCCCAAACATTCCAGCAATGTATGAGCTACATTTTGGAGTTCCAATGGCTGGAGCAGTCCTTTGTACACTTAATATTCGTCATGATTCAGCAATGGTGTCGGTGTTACTGAAGCATTCAGAGGCCAAGGTCTTATTTGTAGATTACCAGCTTCTAAATATTGCTAGGGGAGCAATAGAAATTATATCTAAGACAAGCACCAAGCTGCCTCATCTAGTCTTAATTTTGGAGTCTGATAAACCATCCACCAGCAGCAGTAATGTGGTCTCCACTTCTGGAAACTTGGATTATGAGAGTCTTTTAGCAACGGGAAAACCTGATTTTGAGATCAAACGGCCGAATGATGAATGGGATCCTATTTCGCTTAATTATACTTCAGGCACGACATCAAGCCCAAAAGGTGTCATTTACAGTCATAGAGGTGCCTACCTCAATTCTTTAGCCGCTATTCTTCTTAATGATATAGCCACAATGCCTGTATATTTATGGACAGTTCCAATGTTTCACTGCAATGGCTGGTGCCTTACTTGGGCTGTGGCGGCACAGGGTGGCACAAATGTTTGCTTGAGGAATGTCTCTGCAAAGGGAGTTTTTGACAGTATTGCTAGGTACCAAGTGACCAACATGGGTGGTGCACCAACAGTCTTGAACATGATAGCAAATGCCCCGGCTAGTGACAGAAACCCACTTCCAAGGAAGGTGGCAGTAATGACAGGTGGTGCCCCGCCACCTTCGCAAATACTTTTCAGGATGGAAGAATTAGGTTTCGGTGTTACTCACTCGTATGGTTTGACAGAAACTTATGGTCCTGGCACAGTTTGCACTTGGAAACCTGAGTGGAATACACTGCCTCCTCAAACACAGGCAAAGATCAAGTCCCGTCAGGGCTTGCACCATCTTGGCATGGAGGATGTTGATATTAAAGATCCGGTTACCATGAAGAGTGTTCCGCCTGATGCAAAAACAATGGGTGAGGTTATGTTCAGAGGCAACACTGTTATGAATGGGTACCTGAAAAATGACAAAGCAACACAGGATGCTTTTAAAGGTGGGTGGTTCCGAAGCGGGGACTTGGGGGTTAGACACCCTGATGGTTACATAGAACTAAAGGATCGTTCGAAGGACCTTATAATTTCCGGGGGAGAGAATATCAGCACAATTGAGGTGGAATCTGTGCTTTTTACTCATCCTGTGGTTCTTGACGCGGCAATTGTGGGAAGGCCTGATGATCACTGGGGAGAAACACCCTGTGCATTTGTGAAGTTGAAGGATGGATGTAATGCCAGTGCAGATGAAATTATTAAGTACTGTCGCGATCGATTGCCGCATTACATGGCTCCACGAACTGTTGTTTTTGAGGATTTGCCAAAAACATCAACTGGGAAGACTCAAAAATTTATCCTCAAGGAGAAGGCCAAGGCCATGGGGAGCCTTCCAAAGAGCAGAACCAGCAAACTGTAATGTATCTTCCACTGGGATATATATTGTTATTTGTAAGCTTATACTGGCATTTTTTTGATGCAATAAATTTGATCTTATTGATTTAAGTATTTGATAATCGAATGTAGATATGTCCAATTGACTATGTACTCATAAATTTATAATATATTGTGGCTGTTGCAAATTTCTAGCAACCATTGATTGTTTATTAGTGAATTTCCCAAGTTAATTCCAGTGACTGGGAAAAAGAAATATCCAGAAATTTATTTAAGGGGCACCTTGAACATGGTAAAATAAATATATGTAAGAGCAAAGCAATATGGGTTGTTTGCTCAGACGGTTTGCTTTGTCAATATGGGCTGTGGCAGTGCGCATTTGGGCTATCGCCTACTGGGTTGTCCCTTGCCACCTTTTCTTTTGGTAAGGTAGGTGTTGTACTTGTGGGATGGATCATTGGGATTGGAGAGGCACTGGGGTACTGGGCTAGGGTAGTGGACTGACTTATTCTACATCGGATCCGGATGGGGATGGAAAAATGGAATGAGTATATATGGGTTAGGTGTTAACCCTATCTAAGAGTTTGAATTTTTGGGTCGGAATTTTTGGGTCGGATTGTAAAGTACCCGACTTATTATAACTTGAAATAGGCTAGCGGGCTGGGCCAATGGTGGAACCTAAATCCAAGCCCTACTTACCCTCTTAGATGACCTGGCTGGATAGTACAACGGATATATACATAGAAATCCATTCAAACGAAATCATAAATATATTTAAAAAAAAAAAAAAAATTAGAAAAAAAAAAAAGAGAAAGAACCTCACTAGTGGTTTGGTGCACAATTCCCCCCTCCTTTCAAAAGTGAGCATTGTCAACCCTTATTTTTTTCAAAATGTGCAAATACAATTTTGAAAAAAATAATTAAAAAAATCATATTTTGCCTTTTTTCATTCCCATTTTGCCCTTCTCACATTATAATAAAAAAATAATATTAAAAATAACACCTACCCACAGTGCCGCCACCACCACCCACTGCCACCACCTTTTCTTTCCTCACTTCCTTCTTATATATACATGCATATATATATATATATATATATATATATATATATAGGGTAAAGTACAAAGACACCCCCTGAGGTTTGGGGAAAGGCTATGCAGAGGAAAGTTCGCCTATTTTTGGATAATGACACCACTTTAAGTTTAAAAAATGGACAAAAAGACCCTGAAGATGGTGAATTAACTTTATTACCCTTTGATATAAAATTAACATTGATTAAACCCTAACCAAAACCCATCTTAAACCCTAACCCGAACCCGCATGTGTAAAGAACCCTCTCCCCTTTTCTCTATATATGTACATTGAAGAAATTGGGGCATGTTCTTCTGCTCTATGCTTGTACAGAAAAGATACACACACTACATCTTCATCACCCCTCAACGCATACCCACCCCGACAACCACAACCACCTTCATCCCCACCCCCAAACCACTGCCACCATATCTACCCCAACAACCACCTATGCATATTCTGGCATGATTTAGCACCGATACCACTACCATCCCCATCTCCACCATCACAACCACCACCATTAACTCATCCCCATCATTTGGGGCATAATAGGAAAGTGTGCAGGTAGATGTCGTGGCCGAAATTTGGGGTTTGGCTGTAAGGTTGTTTACAATATACATATATAACTACTCTGATTCTCTCAATTACCCACCAACGTCGTTCAACGACAACCAATTGGCTGGAGATTTTGAGTTTAATGGTGACGAGGAAGGTCTTCAGGTACTTGCCCTATGATTTGGCCTTTTTAAACTCGTGCATTGCATGGTTGTCTGGTCGGGTGAGACGTTATCGACCTTGGTCGCCGATCGAAGCCAGTCGATGCCGGCGGGTTGTAGGAGCCACACGTCGAATGGGGACTTTTGCTTTTTGGAGAAGTAGTTTTGGCAACAGAGAGAGAAAATGTCATCGAGAGGTAAAGCCCAGCCATTGGATCAGGTGTGGAGGTCAACATGTTTGAGAGATCCGTCGTTGATTGCCTCGTCCCTCCATTCGGTGGTGGTATCGGCGGCGGAGGCTTGTTCGGTGATGGAACTCCATTCGGTGCCAGAAACAAGGCCGAGCTCCGGCAAAATCGAAGAGGTGACAGTGGCAGAGCTCCGGCAAGGTCAAGGTCGGGGGTGGTGGTTATTGTGGTTGTGTGTGTGTGTGTGTGTGTGTGTGTGTGTGTGTGTGAAAAGGGTAAATTGGTCATTTAAATATTTTGATATTTTATAATTAAAATAAATAAAATAGTGAAGGGTAAAGTGGACTTTTCACATGTTTTAAGACTTTGTTTGGATGACAAATTTCACAAGGGAGTGTGGTTGTCCAAAAATAAGTAAACTTTCCTCTGCATGGCCTTACCCCAAACCTCAGGGGGTGTCTCTATACTTTACCCATATATATATATATATATATATATGGGTAAAGTATAGAGACACCCCCTGAGGTTTGGGGTAAGGCCATGCAGAGGAAAGTTTACTTATTTTTTGACAACCTATATATATATATATATATATATATATATATACTAATGGATCAAAAATATTCAAAGACCAAACTTTCCAATGATGGCACGAGAAGAGGTTACTGGAGGCGAGTTGATTCCAACAAGGATAAAGGAACGACGGTGAGGAGAAACTGAAGAACGCGAGGATGAGGGAATGATGGTAGCGAATCCCCGGGTCGGCATTCGCCATTGACAGAATACCAGGATCGGTGTATTTTTTTATGAAGTTCTCATCGGCGAACTTGGAGCCGTAGATAGACTCGCCACCAGTGTAGAGGGCTCAGAAGTTCTTGGCGGTGCGGGGAGTAGTGTAATACCTCTAATTTTAAAAGGATAGTCTCGGTATTTAATTAATTGTTTTATTGAATTTTCTTTGCGTATTTGCTTATTTGATTAATTGGCTAGTTGTTTATTTAATTGAATTAGTTGTTTGATTGTTTATTTAATTTGATTAGATTAATTATTTGGTTAATTGGTTATTTAATAGAATTAATTGGTTCGTTGTTTTTGTTTTATTTAATTGCTTATTTATTTTATTTGTTTTATTTATATTGATGCTTAGGTGGATTTAGTTTAAATACTGAATTATATGTCGTATAATGGTTTAGGGTTTTCTTTTATGAGATTAGGGTGGCCGACTTGTTTCTTTTAGCATAGGTTGTCGTCTCTTTTCTAACTAGAAGTAGGTTAAGAAGAAGCCTATAAATACATCATTAGGGGTCTGCCAAGGGGTTTTAGAACCCTATTCCCGTAACAGTGGAGGCAGAGAGAGAATAGAGGAAGGCTTTACAGTAATCGGAATTCGTCGGAAAAACTTAGGAAGACGACGCTGAGATTTTGAACCGAAATCTCCCAGGCAAGTTTTATAACTATCTCTCTCCCTTTGACCTGTGTTCTTTACATGCCTAATACAATTCCAGGAAGAAATAAAAGTTAAATTAATCTGGTTTGCATGTTATTCGATTAAAAACAGTATGTGTTCATGAATTGGTATTTTGCTTGTTTTTAAACTGCCTTGCATAATTTTTGTTCTAATTAATGTTGAGTAATGAATAATGAATTTAAATAATTCTGGAACACACTAGGGCTTAGTATTAACCAGTAGGAACCTTGGATTGGAGGAACAAAGTAGCCGGACACTGCCGGAGTTGAAGAAGACGATGGAAAAGGGGAAGAGCCGGCTCTTTTTTGAAGGGAGCAGGCTCCCCTAAGCAAAGAGCAGGCTCCCCTTTGTAGGGAGCCGGCTCTATGGGGCTTGGAGGCGGCTCCCTCAAAGAGGGAGCCGGCTCCTTCGTCAATTTTTAATTTTTTTTGGTTTTATGCGATTGTTTGGCCGCTGTGCTTGGATTATTGAGTTTCCAGGTTCAACTGAGGGCTAAACTAAGGGTTTTCAGTGATGTTTAGAACCTTATTAAAACTTCAGAAGGCATGGAAATACATAATATACCGTAAGAGGTTAATATATGGAACAATATGAAACTCTTAAGAAAGTTTGCATGTTGGCTTTGATGCGGATGATTCAAGTTGCTTATTTTTAAATTACCAATTGATTTAGGGATTTTATGTTTAAATCAGGTCACAGTGGTATAAAAATAAGCATGTCAATTTATATAATTTCTGTTATGCTTAATAGGAAATTAGTTGATGTTTATAAATTATTGTCTATTATCAACTTACTGGATATTGTGGTGTAGTTTCAAGTAAGCATGTTAACTCTGATATTATTATTGTTATGCTTATCGTGGTTTAAAGGATGATTACACTTATTTTCTGCGTTTTAAATTGTTGGAGAATCATCTATCGGTAGTATAGAACAAGCATGTTAATTACATATTCTTGTTATACTTGTTATAGATTGGTTGATATTGATATTTATATTGTTATCTGTGTTATCAACTACTGGATTGATGGATTATATGCACCGGTATGGGACGATGACATACTAGGGGGATTAGCTAAAAAACGCGAAGTCCTACCTACTCTAGGATTAAGGAGTGGATTAACTATTAAGTTAAGTCCTATTGATTTATCGTGTCAAGGCAACGAATAATTGAGCGGCACTGATATGGTTTCTGGAAATATGTAAAATTATGGTACCTCGATATGAGCGTGAGTCTCAAGATTGACGATTAGGGAGCTATAAGCATTAGGATGCATAACTGGCTATGATGGTTGGAGGTGTACCCTGTTAGGTCTAGGTACTCATGCCTACTTCAAGTACATTTTGCATGTTGCCTACTAGTCAGGTTGAAACCAGCCTGTAGTCCAGTGAGAATCCTTTAGTGTGGATATATATATATATATATATATATATATATATATATATATATATACACACACACACACACACACACACACACACACACAGACTATATAGTTATTATTGAATTGTTTAGGATGTACATGTGTATCGGATCTCTGTTTGGATTATAGTACTATAGAACTTGCACGTGGCTTAACGTACTCTTATTTTTCAGGTATCAGGCGGTTCCGGTCTTAGAGCGTGATCGAGTTGAGCAGAGACAGTCACTCATTCTTCCGATTATGTAGGACTGCTTCTTATGTTTCTGTTTTACCTTTGGATCTTATTCTAGTAGTTTATATTCCAGTTTGGGTTTTTATTAGGGGTCCACCAGAG